TCCATCCTAGAAAAGTCGGCAATCACGGGACCGTATACCGACCACCCCACCTTCCGTCCGTCCGCACCACAGGCATTCCAATGTTTAATCTCACACTTTCTAGCTAGTATGGGAGCCTGCAACCTGATATTGTACACCGATGTTTTGATTAATTGACAGATTTCAAAATGGTGTTTCTGCTGACCAGTAGCGCCTGACCGTATCGCGGGCTCAGGTATCGACCCACTGAGTTCGAGTGTTTTTTGAAGTTATCCGCTGACAAGTTGCTACTTTTCAAATGATCGCAGGCTCAAGCTCAATTTTTTTAAAATGCATATAAAATAAGTCGTGTTCATGAGCCGCACTTTCAAAAAGTTGCTACTTTTCAAATGATCGCAGGCTCCAGTTCAATTTTTTTAAAATGCATATGAAATAAGTCGTGTTCATGAGCCTTACTTTTAAAAGTTTGATTTCGAACTGACCTTGGACGCGAAAATTCAAACCGGCTTTTACACGCAGGGAAGGCAATCGCTTTTGACTTTTCTCACTGTCACGCGTTGATCACGCTCTACGTCCAATTTTTATGTTCTGATTGGTCAAAATTTGACAGGTGAGTCCATGCGGGAAATTTATGCAGCGTCTGGAAACTTGCTTACTGATAGCTGAAGCTGAAAGAGTTTTGTGTCACCTTGTGATGTTTTAAACTGTCTTTTTGTACTTGATATACAAAATGAAATACAGCTGCTATCAAGATTGTTCTGTAATTCATGGCTGGTTTGTTTATTGCGCTTTTTGTTGACAAATGCACCGCTTGTCAAAGTCATTGGAAATCCGATTTCGGATGACATCGTTTTCAAAAATGAGCTGCCTCACTTGCTAGTACTTGAGGCGTAAGAGGGTTGAAAAGTCTCAAGCGATTCTAGAACACTTGATGACCTTCAGAAGCAGCATCTCGACTAGTGACTGTGCAATTATTGTCTTTGATGTGTTTTTTTTTTTTTGGTTTGGCCATCCCAATAAAATGTTTAGTCTCCCATCGCCCGACCGACCCATTTTTTTCGAAAGGTAAAAAAAAAAATTCCAGATTCACTGGTCAAAGAAGCAAGTGCTTTGATTTACGTGCATAAGATCTTGTTTTAACAACAATTGGTATGATGTGATGTCCTTGTCTTTAATTAACATCGATACTACGTTTTTTTTCTTGTTTCCCGCTCTTTTAGATCACGTGATGAGTTTTTTGTTGTTGTACGGAGTTACTCGATATATCATTTGGAGCGATTCACACGAAGTAACCACGTTTTTAACGCTTGACAACGTATATATCCTTGTTTGTACGGATTGCTTTGTCTTGTCCGAAGTCTATATCCTAGGTTGTACGGATTGGTTTTTTTCGTCCAAATAAACGCCAGTTTACAAGTGAATTTGCACATTATAGTTACTTCGTTTTGCTGTTGGACTGTTGGTTGAATCGAGTCTTGTCAACTTCATTGTTGTCTTCTATTTGCGGAGTTTGCCAACGAAGTGAGCATCTCATCGTAAGCAAATTGTCAGAGATATTTTCCGTCTATGAAGAATTTTGTTGTGTTGATGTATGAAACCGTGCATGTTGTTGAATCAAGTTTGTCACGTCTGTGTGCGATTCGGCGGGTTTTGACATCAAAAGCGATGGAACGATTGCTGCAGGCGAAACGGCGACTATTTCGGAGACTGATTTTTCGCCTTGTAATCCACAAGCAAATTCTACAGTCCTAGAGGCCTTTCCAATCGAGTCGGGCTACGTGACAAAGGGGAGCGAAGCGACGAATTTGCCTTTGAACGATGAAGCTGACTTTCCTGGGGAATTGGCGAATGGACAAGGGCTCGGAAGTACGGACGAGACCGTGATCGACAATGCAAACTTAGAAAGTGCATCTGCTGGCACCGCGAGGATCGGCGGAAAAAGAGAACACAAGTTAACGGAGAAAGGTAAATCCTATAAACTTGCTCGAGATGTCGGTGAGCGAAAGAGACTCAAGAGAGAAACACAGGCGCAAATTGCTAATATTCAGACACTCATTGGACTGAATAGAAACCTGGAAAAAGTCAGTCAGGAATGCATTAAATTAAATGAACGATTCAAGTTGTTTGGGGATCTTCATGAAGAGATCCAGGACTTGCTGAGTGGACAAGAGATCATGAAGAGATAGTTCCCTTTCGTGAAGTGGTTGAGAAATGGATGACTAATGCTGAACAGCAACTCAGAGATGAAGAAAGGGAAAAGAATTCAACCAAGTCAAGTCTGACGTCCAAAAATAATAAAGCCTCGCGTGCATCCACCACTTCTTCTAGAACAAGAGCCTTGTAAGCCAAAGCCAAAGAAGTTGAATTAAGGATGAGGATTGCACAACTCGATCAAGTGGAAACTGCAAAAAGATAAGCAGAAAGAACAAGGTTGATAGCTGAGTGTACAATTGCTGCTGCTGTTAGCAAAGTCTACGAGGACGCAATAACAGAGGATGCAGAAAAATACCTAGGATCGGAT